GGGGGGGTATCGGACTTTTATTGTAAAGTGCAGGGGTGTGAAACAAAGGAACCACTTACTGGAAACCTTCCTCAACTTGGGACCTCATCACCGTAGACAGGGATCATTCTGGTGACGGATTAACTGTCAGTTCTTGCCGTTCATACGAATTCATGAAGAGGTTCCCATCCAGAGGAAGTATGTATATTGGAGAAAGTCCATGTATGAGTTTCACTTGTAATTCTATTAGAATCTGATTCACAGAGCAAGGAAAGCAGTATAAAACATGGGTGGCAGGCTGATATCCTGGGGACTTCGGTTATACCAGACAAGGTATGATAATGGAGTTATTTTCTACATTAGACTAAAAATTGAATCCTGGACACCCCCTGTTGCAATCGGGCCCAACTCAGTGTTAGTCCCACAGCAAGTACCCTCCCCACCTTCCAATAATCAACACAGCACACCAGTCCGAAATTCACCTCCCCGTGTCACCCCTTCAAGGGGCAACACATCAGTCCAAAGTTTACAAGAGGACCCCCTTTGGGAAGTTATGATCCAGACTTTCCACTTACTAAATTTAACCCAATCTAATTTAACAAAGTCCTGCTGGCTATGCTATGATATCAAACCCCCCTATTATGAAGGTATTGCATTTGTAGGAAAATTTAACCAGTCAAAAACTCACGAAGCCTGTAGATGGCATCACAAAAACCCTGGACAACTCACCTTACTTTCTGTCACAGGGACAGGGACCTGCATAGGGCAGGTTCCACAAACCCACAAACTTCTCTGCAGCCACACTGAGATAATTATAAATCAAACTGTACTATATACCACCCCCCAATGGATGGTGGGCATGCTCCTCGGGATTATCCCCTTGCCTCCATGGGCAAGTTCTTAATCACACCAAAGACTTTTGTATATTAGTTACTTAGTACCACATGTACTGTACCACCAGTATGATGAGTTCCTAGATAAATGGGAAACTGTTCCCTACCGAGTCAAAGGGGAACCAATTGCTGCTGTAACCTTAACTGTTTTGCTGGGACTAGGACTGGCGGGGGCCGGTACAGGAATTGCTTCTATCGCAACCCAGCATCAGCAATATAACTCACTTAGAGCAGCGATTGATCAAGATATAGAAAGACTAGAAGAATCCATTACCAAACTCCAAGAATCCCTAACCTCTTTAGCAGAAATGACTTTACAGTT